TAAAATTAAGTTTTTTTTTGCGGAAAGGGAGATAACAAATCAATGATTTATAGAAATTGGAAAATTAAAAAAAATCCAAAATGTGGAGGGAGTGAATTAAATCTTTGAGATGGGATGATGGAAAAAGACACTATTAATTATGAACTATTAGAGCCCCTAGAATTTGCCAATTGGCAAAATTATGCTACCGGGTTTTTACTTTATTAGAATACTATTGATATGATTAAAAATGTTACTGATACATGGTTTTTCTAGGATGATTCAGAAATTGTTGCTATGATCAAAGAACTTTTGGAGACTAGGATTCGACCTGCAGTCCAAGATGATGGTGGTGACATTGTATACCGCGGATTTGACGAGTACTCTCTCTCTCTCTCTCTCTCTCTCTCTCTCATACATACACCATGAGTTACAAAAGTGCATTTTACGTGGTTCTGAAACTTGGTTCTTTTTTTTTCTCAGAGACACTGGTATAGTGAAGTTAAAGATGCAAGGAGCCTGTAGCGGTTGCCCTAGCTCATCAGTTACACTGAAATCTGGCATCGAAAATATGCTTATGCATTATGTTCCTGAGGTAAACATCCTATGAAATTAACTATTTGTGAGCTTATATTTTTTATATCTCTTGTGTATCGGGACTTAGTAGAGCATTCTTAAATAGTTAATACCGCTTCATTCATTAGCTATGTTGTAGTCACTGTTGAACGTCTGACTACCCCTCATGAAAGAGAAGCCAGTCATAAGAAGTACTTTTTGTTCTTCTATTTCTTTCAAGGATTTATGCATATGCTTTTTCTTTTTCTTTCCTTGAGAGCGATGATAAAAATATTTGTTATGTTTGATACGAAGAGATCCAATCCTTTAATTGGATGGTAAATTACCTACTTGTTCTCATATTTTTTTCTATAGTAAGCGGAGGTAAGTGTCCCTACATGATTCTGGCTTATGTATCACTGGTGTGACACACATCCAAGCCACGAGCTATAATCTGGGTTTTTTGATAATCTGAACTGTAATGGTTTGGATGCAACATGTCATGTCAGCGAGACACTAGCCAACACTGTAGAGTGACGCTAGCTCCTGTTTACTTTATTTTTTAATGAATCTGAGACTTAGAAGTGTTGCTTTGATGTCCAAACTTTTTTCCATTGACCTTACAACGGATAGACATGATTCCTCTTCATACTTGTTTATCAAGTCGTAAATTTTTTGTCATGTGCTCTTATGATTAAATTGTTGTTTCAGTAAATGACCCTAAGTATCCTTTTGATGACAGGTTAAAGGAGTCGAACAAGAGTCAGACCCAGACGAAGAGGCATCATTAGTGGGCTAGTTAGAGTGACCGAGGATGGTGAATGCATATCTGTAGGATTTCAGTTTTTACTGGTTTTGCTGAGTATTTATTTTGAATTTTTTTCGGTTAAGTTAAATCTGATGTAATGTACGGGTTTATTACCTATTTGTGTATGTATTCTCTATTGATGGTGAATAATAAAGTGATACTTTGTGTATTCTTTATGCTAATGAACTGTGAGAGACTAAATTGTCACTACCATTTAAGGATTTGCCTTGGAAGTGTTTTTGGGTTTTATAACCAGCTTGTGAATTTCTTGTGACTGAAATTGCATGGGTATAAACCTTGAAAACCTGAATAGTTGAATGAGATTAAATTGCATTTAACCCCTTGTTCAGGATTTAGAATCTATCTTGAAAAGTTTTTCATCTCTTCAACTACTTTTACCCGTACTCAAGTTAGGGATTATGTATAGGGATGCTAAGCATTATGTTTAGGGATGCTAAACCGTATCTGTATTTGAAGAAATATCCGTATCCGTTAGAATACAAATATGGTTACTCAAATCTATAACCGATAAGATAATGCTATGGATATGTTTTTGTAGTTAAATATTTCGTATCGGAAATATCCAAATACATATTGTTATGATAGTTTTATTCCTTAGATTATGGATTTGAGATTAATTTTGATGATCAAGATGTCTAATCTTAGCTTGTTAGATATAACGAATATATTAAAGAACACTTTTGTCCACATAGACTACAATTTTTTAAAAATATTATTTAATTTTCTCATATCCATTTTTTTCCGCATGCATATCCACTTATATATCGGCATGTATATCCGTATTTGTATTCGATTTTAACGGATATGGATATTCCTTACTGAGGGATATTCATAACCGCAACCGTATCCGTGATGGGTAGATATATATGGATATGATAAGTATCATATTCGAGCCGTTGCTGGACCGAATCCGTATCCGTGATGGGTAGATATATATGGATATGATAAGTATCATATTCGAGCCGTTGCTGGACCGAATACACCCCTAGTTATGTTTGTAGATTATTGAACATATTGTTTGTCCCGTAATTTTGTTTATGTTTTGTTTTTTTAAAGACAAATTGAGGCAAAAGTCTTTAGCTTTCTTTTAGGAAAAGTCTAGTTAAAGAATCATTTTTGCAAGTTATGGCTTAAAGATTGATAGAGAATTTAGGTTTCAAATGGTCAAATAATCATGAAATAACTTTGCTTGAACGGAAAATCCGACTTGT